CAACGCCTAAAGAAATAAATAATATGAATAAAAATGTTGCTCAAATGCATTAAGGGGTAGTACTAGAAAGCATGGTTGAATCCATAGGGACACGTCCTAAAGTCTATGTCTTTCTTGCATAAGGCACACACTAGTCTGACAGAAATTTAAATTGGGGGGGGGGGGGGGGGGGGGGGGGGGGGGGGGGGGGGAGGTTGATGATTATTAAAACTAATTTGAACATAAATTAATAAAATAAAACTCAATTTAAATACTTGAGAAAATATCAAAAAATAAAAGCAATTTCAGTTTTGCGGTGACTCCCCTAATCATGCAAATAACCTTCAACACGATTGTTTGAATTGCGTATTGTTTAAACTGGTAGTAAAAATCATGAATAAGCTCTAGCAATTTTCATTTACTAAAATATTTAATCAAAATAAGCTATTTGAATTAAACCTTACTGTTTACTGAATTAGCTAAACAAGCTCTTAATTAATTGAGAAAAGTAGCATTAGACACAATGTAAAGTTCTCACTAAAGTCCAATACTTCTCACAAGCTTAGAAGCATACAAAACTTGTCTAATCATTTTATATTAGATTTAAATCATAAACACAGAACCAATATAATATTTGTTACTTATACTAATTAATAAAGACAATTACAGATCTAAACAATCAAATAACTAAAATTATTCAATAGAAATTACAGTAGCCAACAGAAATTGAATCAAAATCATTTGTTCAATTAAGCATAAAACTGATCAAACTAAATAGTAATCATAACCAAAAACCATGCCTAATAATTACTTGCATGAAAACTCTAGTCTTTTGCGAAATTGAAATCAAGGGTTTTTAGCCTGACATGGCAAAAAATGAATTACAGAAGATAAATTTGACATGGAAAAAAATGAATTACAGAAGATAAAATTAAGTCTTAAATGATTAATCTTACTAACTGATGATACATATTGAATCGTGTTATTCAGATCTTCATTTTGCACTTGGAATCTTTAGAGAATCGCCTCTCTGCAGCCTCTAGTCGAAGTTAGGGCGACAAAAGTGTTATAAGGTGCTATTTATAAGTCTATACAGTCGTCGACCCATCACACGATCGTTTTTTAAAGGGCATGATTGTGTTTTCTTCAAAGCGCGTCCAAAACCCGTTTAATGAAGTGTGTTGCCATTCTTGACACTTTTCATAAAAACACTATTGTGTTTCTGAGGAAAACACGATCGAATTTTTGGATTCCGGTCATGCGAGGCTCATAGAATGCATCCAAATGATTTCTGAGGAATTTCTTGAGTACGTGACATCAACACGATCGTGTTTATGAACGAAGCACGATCGAGGTTTCTTGTTTTCTTACTATGACTTAAAAACTAGGCAAAAGACTACCGGAGCTTTCACAGGATCGTGCTTTTGGTAGAAACACGATCGAATTTCTTGAATTTCACGCGAAATGTTCGTTTTTCCTTGATTAAAGCAGCTTCCAAGCATTCCTTGGCACCATTCACAAGTTCCCAGCTAGTGCTGTTCACTATTTGGATAAAACCGAATTGTCCAATTGGACAATTTAGTTTGGATATTCGGATTTTTGGATTGGTTTTCAACAAAATTGAATTATTATTTTGGATTTCGGATTGGTTTTGATTTATAAAATAAGAACTGAATAGTCCAAAAAAACTGAATAACCATTTATTATTTATTTATTTTTAATATATCTATAATTATTTATTAATTTTATATTTTATTTTTTCAAATACGTTCAAAAAGTTTCAGCTAATAAAAAATATTAGTATGTCAAAAGTTTTTTATCTATTAAATATTAAACTATAATATACATTTTTTGTAGTTGTTTATATATTTAAATCATAACTAAGTAATTTGGTTTTACTTCTTCTATTAAAATTGGATAATATTATAATTATATATATCATTTTAAGATTTTCTGGTTTTTGAAAACCGAATTATAAAAACCGATCCAACCGAATTGTAATTGGATCGGATCGGATCGGATTTGAAATTAGTTTGGACTATTCGGATCCATATTTTGAAAACCGAAATCAATTTGGATTTATTTAATTGGATCGGATCGAACCGATCCATCCAAACGAACACCCCTATTCCCAGCTCTAATTAAGCTCTAATGCTCCATCAAACGCATCCTCAAGGTGTCATATTCTCAATCCATTCTAATTTACCCTGAAATCATAACAAAAGTGAGTAGTACGAGAATTCTATGGAAATAATGGAAAATACGCAATTCATAGTAAAACAAGGGAGATAGCTAGCTTTTTATAAGAAACTACTGACAAAAACGTGTTAAAATATGCATATAAAATGCATCTAACATCAACCAAAATAAAGTGTCTAGCCACTCATGGCAACAAAGAAATGATCACAAAAGCGTTTTAACATAAAAAGGATTTAGAAAATACTAAAATATTGAGATGATGAATGCATCTAGCTCTCCAAAATCACCTCAAGCTACTCCAATGGTGCCCAAAATCGATCGAGGGGCTGCAATACCTAACCCCCAAGGTAAATGATGAGCCAAATAACCAAAATGCCCCCGAGAAGGCAGTTGCGCAGGTGGGCGCGCAAAGTTCCGCAGGTGGAATCCTCCCCCACTACTTCAATCCACTACTCGAGATTTCTTTAGTCCCGTTCACTCCTCACATCATTGAAATATGGACCAATCATCTTCTAACCTCAAAATGGATAGTCCAAACCCATTTTCAAGTATTCATGACCCATCCAAGTCTTCAATACACCAAGCCTAAAACTTCCAATATGGATCCAGTAAAGCCCAATAGCTCCTTAAAAGTCCACAAAGCCTAACAACTCAGAAACAATATAATCTGTAACCACAACGAGACTCCAAAAACCTACAAAACAACTTATGCAAAAGAGAAAGCAGCCGATACAATCCAAGATAAAGAAAGGATAAAATATGCAATACAAAAACAATAAAAAGGTTAAAAATACTAAAATAAACTACATAAAAGAAGTGAATAAAATAAACTATCACTACCACAATCTCCGCCTTTAGCCACCGTCGGCTAACCATCACCTTTAGACACTACCATCCCTACCTTCAACATGCATGCACCAACACCACCTTTAGCAACAGTCAACATCATCGCCGCCTTCAACTACTACCATTACCGTCGACTTCAACCACTGCCACCACCACTATCACTATAGATGTTTATGAGGCGGTTGAGCTTGTATAGCAATAAAATTGTGAATCATAACCACGGGGAGAGTACCTTGCATTCGCTACCAAATTGTATAAAAAATGAACTGAATCGAACCATGTGAAGGTGAGTAACAACGGTTCGGTTCAAGGGTACCTGCTAAATACAAAAATTCAAAATCTATCATTAAAAAAAACTTGTTCAATAAGAAACAACTAAAACTATTTAACACAAGTTTGGCAACACAAAAAACATCTATAATCCATTTGACAACAACAAAAACAAACAAAAAAAACACATCAAATCACCGCCAAATCAACATCAAACCTTCAAAAAAAGCTAGTTTTAGTACAAACACCAAAAAGGAAGAAAAAATAAACAAAAAAAAATCAGCATATAAACACCGATTCACATCATAAAAAAACAAATAAACACCACTTCACATCACAAAAGAGCAACAAAAAATTGAATATAAACATTTTAGAGCACAAAAACACTTGCATTTGAACTTCCTGATTGTTGTGTGGATAAAGGATCACCATCAACCTCCATTTTAACAATTTCTTTCTAAAAAAATTTTAAAAAACAGAAGTTAGAAAAAAATCAACTTTTGTTGGAATGTGTTTTTTTAATGAAGTTTTATCTCTAATGCTTTATTTTTTAGTTTTATTTATTAGTTTTTATTTAGTAAATATTTAATGGAACTTTATTGTTCCTAGTAGGGCTAAAGGGAGGGTGTTGGTGTTACACAACACCGCACATGAAAGTGAAGCCAAACCTACAACTTTCAAAGAGCGGTACGTGGACATGCGTCTAATGGAAAACAATTTTCAGGTTCGGTGCAAAGAGATTCATAAGAAAACCGAACCCCCAATATCACAGAGCAGCTTTCTCCCTAGATTAGATCTTGATGTGGAATCTGGGTCTTTTCATTCTTTTAGATAGAAAGGTATTCTAATTTTATTGAATCAAATAAGAACCTAAGCCTTCTACTAATTTGGAAGGACTAATTGAGGGGGTGTTTGGGTGCTTTTCAATTAGTTTATTGGCTTTTTGTAAAGTCGGAAATTTCTGGCTTTTTGAGAAAAATCACTTTTTATATTAAAATGTTAGTGTTTAACAAATCTTTTTTTTTTAACTTATTTACTTTTTGAAAAGCCAATAAGTTATTAAATCAGTTTCAAAAACACTCCCAAACACCCAGTAAGCTCTCGATCAGTTTCAGGTCAAATAAGAATTAAAAGATTCCACCACTGGAAAGTGCATGCACTTAAGTCCACACTACAAGAAATTTAGATGTTTACCCACACATTTTATGTGTGGGAAGAAGCCTAGTATGTGTTGGTAGTCATCTTTACCCACACATATATTAAGTGTCACTATGTGTTGGCTCACGCCTGTTGGTATAGATCATTACCCACGCATCGTATATGTGTAGGTAAAAGGCAACATTTAACTACACATGTATGTGTGCCTAAAAGTAGTAAGTATGTGTGGGTAAATGTATTTTGATTTTTTTAGTTAGCTGATGACGTGGCTGATGATGTGGTTGCTTACATGGTTGCTTACATGGCCAATGACATGGATTGTACGGATGACATGGGTAATGCCGTGGACTACACATGTCATAAAATATGTGTTAGGCAATAGCATATTTATGTGTAAGTAATATCAGTAGATGTGTAGGTATTAACTTTGATATGTGTTGGTAGAAATATATTTATATGTACGTATTACCACGATATATGTAGGTAATAATGTTCAAATATATATACAAAATAATTACAAAACATGTGTATAAATTAGAAGCATATGCATCCAAAATATTATTATAAATTAAAAATGTTCAAACAGAATAATTTAAGCCACAAGTAAATTACAAATCACAAAACTTGAAATAGGTAAACTAACAAAAATTAAACTAGTTATAAGTAGCTATTTGAAAATACAAAAATGTATTAAATGTGCATTCCATATCAACAACCTATCAACATTTTCACCACACTCACCATGAGACTGTCACGAATGGGTGTTAGATATATCACATTCAAATGTGTCACATTGAGATCGCCTTGATAATGTGCTTAGAGGAGACATAATGTTTTTCTCGATCAACATTTGTTTCATAGCCGCATATTTTCTTTCAGTGTTTCCAATTGATCAACCAATTAATCATAAGTAGGGCACTTTAAGAACTCTCAGTGTTACTAGCATAAACATGATCGCGTCCCCACCCGCACAAACAGGTGCCTTCTCTAGAATCAACCTGTCGCCGCTGATAAAAAACAATAAGTTCAAAGTTTTTTGGTAATTGATGAATGTGATTGTTAGCAAAAAATGTGGTGTCAAGTAACTTTTAGAAAAGGAATCAATAAACAAACGTAATGTCAAATATTCACAATCAAATAACTAAATATTTCACTTTTATAACTAAAAGTATTTATTCGTGAAATATGACAATTACAATTTTCAGTTCTGATTTATAAAAAGAATGGGTCCAAGGTATTATGAAATTGAACTCAATGTTTGATTAGATGAGGTATGCAAAAAATGAAGGTAAAACAAATTAAGAACATTGTGATTCATATGTTTAATGGGTGTTTCTAATTGCTTGTATATCTTATCCTACGCACGCGAAGCTAAAACAAATTAAGAAACACATTGATCCTCTAATTATATGCAAAAAATCATATACTTCTTATCGAAAAATGTTTCTGACTTCAAAACTAAAATAGAGGTGAGGCAGCCATTGTTGAAGCAAATGAAATCTTATTTTGGATAAATATGAAACATTGAACGAAAAGAGACAGAATACATTCTAATTACCAACATATCTTACATTCGCAAAAAAAAAATTAGTGTAAAGAGTCGATAATCAATATGTAAATTGCAGAAGATAAAATCGTGAACAACAGGTCGTGATGGTTGAAGAATACCTTAATTTTTGAATCTTTTTTCTCCTTGATACCTCGATACTTTCACCGCATTTAGGGTTTTCTGAGATGATAAGAATGAAACGGCAAAGCCAAACGATTTCCTTCTATAAACCGCATGACTCGTATATTTCGGAAGGGATTCCGATTTCACATATCGTCAATATAGAAGGTGATTACCCAATTACACCACAATGGCACAACCGTGATCTCAATATGCAAATTTTCTTTTTATTTTTGTTTTAATTTTGCTTTAATTCTAATATTCCATATTTTTGTTTATTTTTTAAAATTATTTCGTTTATGCAATTTTTTGTTATTTTATTATAAATAAGTACCAACACATTAAAGGAGTTTTGTAAGATATGTTGGTAACATTAATCATCGATCGCATTTAGAAACACAACTGAAATTCCGATTTTTGCCATGGTTAGCCGAAGAATAGTTCCTCAGGTGTGCTGATGAAGAACAGATCCGCAGAGCCTTAGCAACCTTTCCGCAGAGCCCCCTCTACGGAAGTATGCAACAAACCGTTTTTTTTTTGTCTTTTTCTCTGACACCTCAATTCCTTGTTACTATTCACATTCCTCAGAAGGTAAAAGGCTTCCGCGGAGTCCCTCTGCGGATCTCTTTAGTCATTCTACAAAACTCAAATTTTTATGGTCAAAATGTTCAAACACCTCATTCCCTTTGATCATTCATGAAATTTCTCTTAAAATTATTCCGTGCAAACCAGACCTATTTACCATACCACCTCTAATACAAACAAACACCTTATTTAGAGAAAATTCGAACAAAAGCCCATTCTTGGCAAATGCCATTTAAAAAAAAAACTGAAAAAAACTGTCTAATTTTTATCTCAGAAGCATTTTAGCCAATTTGATTTTTATTTTGTATAATGGAATATTATAATTGAGCTATGGGATGAAACCTTGAGATTTTAGCCAACTATTCGTATTTAATAATTATGGTCAGAAGTGGAATTCTATATTCGAACTCTCATGTTCAAAACAGGACATGATCCATTGATATTGACATTTTAGGATTTACATCACGTAATGGTTTTGGACGAGGGATGCACGTGACACCGCAAGTGAATGGTACGGTTAATTTGTATTCTGTGTAAGTTTTCATCAAGTACAGTTAATGATTGTTTTTGACAGATTTTAGAATGATTAAATAATAATTAGTAAGCAGTTTATATAAAGTTTAATTTGACAAAAGTTTTTAAACATAAAATCACGTGTACCGGGCTATATTTTATAATTAAATTTATTTCTCATATATATATATATATATATATATATATATATATATATATATATATATATAGGAAAGAACGAATATCGTTAAGCCAAAATTTGATGTTATTTACATAGCAAAATTGAACTTACAATCTGTATAATATCAACTTCAAGCACTTGGATACACCACTGCCACTCTACACAAAATTACTATAAAAGGACAGTAATATGGACTATATTCAACCTTTTATAGTAATTTATAAAAAATTACTATAAAAGGACAGTAATATGGACTATATTCAATCTTCTAAATTTTAGAAATATAAAATTTATAAAAAATTATAAAAAAAAGGTAGAAAGTGAAACATTACCAGACGAGTTTCTTTTATTGCTATTTGGATTCATCACGTATGTTGAATGTTTTTTTGTTGAATCCAAAATAAAGTAAAAAGTGAAGCCGACCGCATGACCTAGCCACGGTTCTTTTAACTGTATAAGTTAGATCAAAAGGGTGGCTAGATCATGCTGGCAGCTTCACCTTTTCCTTCAGTTTGATCACCATATATATTGGAACTCATCTCCTTCACCAAACTAAACTCCAATCCTTGTACATACATGATTATGCGAACTCACATGCAACAGGGTGTTTGTTCTCTTTATCTGTGGATAATATTTCCTTTTTCAGCTTTGTGAATAAGATTAGAGTTTCCAAATCTCAAAGAGAAACAAGTCGGGGACTCAAAACTCGATACTAATTGGATTAGTTTTTAGCAAGCTTTTTGAGAAAAAACATTATGGTTTTCAAGATTTCGAAGAGAACCCAAAAATGAGTTAAGAGAATAGAAGAAGCTAGCAGATGAAAGACGTGTATCAAATGAAAACTCGTTTGAATTTTTATAAAGCCAAGCCGGGTGGGGTGGTGTAGTGGGGTAGGGCTAACCCATAACTAGGGTTTTACTCAGAATTCAAAAGGATAGTTTTTGGCTTTTAAAAAGTTAAAAAAAGGATTAGGGTTTTCAAGATTTCAAGAACCTACACAATACGAACACATAAGAAGCTAACATGTATCCACATAAAACACTTTATAAGACAATTTATAAAAGCAAGGTGGGGTGTGGTGATCCGCACAAAAGGAAGAGATTGCTATGGGCCCTCGTATATTCGGTTTTATGGAGCATATGGAAGACTAGAAATGCTTTAATTTTCAAAAGTTTCAGGATCAGCCCAATGAAGACAGCCGATGATATTCAGTTAATCTCTTTCAGTTGGTTGAAATATAGAGGGAGGTTTAGTTCTTTAAATTGGTTTGACGGGTGTAATTCTTCTGTTTCCCTTATTTGTATGTTGTAACTTGTAACTTGTCTAGCGTCTCGCTAGTTTCATTTTAATGTGATTCCGCTGTTAAAAAAAAAAAAAAAAAAAAAAAAAAAAAAAAAAAGGTGGGGTGTGGTGATCCGCAGATAGGGTTAGTGAAAATGAACCTGGAGAGAAAACCCTAAAAAAACCCATAAGGTCCAACAGTGAATTGAAATTTGAAGCAGCTTTAGTCATGTGATCAGTTCAGCAGCAGGCAGCAGCTAGCACAGGTGTCAGTAGCAGCAAGTAAATAAGTAGCTAGGCTGCATGCATTGATATATATAATGGAGAACCCTAATTAGGTTCAGGGGATTAATACCTCAGAGAGAGGTGAGGTGATATATGTTTAGAGTTAGGAATGCAGCCAACACTACTAGCTGCCCTTCTTTCATCTATATTCACACAAGCAATAAGTCAAACAATCCTGCATCTTGTATCCATTTTATTTTAATTCTTTTATGTTATATCTTTAACATCTTGTATTTTTATCACAATACAATATATATATATATATATATATATATATATATATAATGGTCTCTCTTTTTTTGAACTGAAAAAATAAATAAATCAATAAGCATTATGATTGTCGAATATACATACCAAGTTCATGTTAAATGTTAATTCATTTATTATACGGATAAACTTTTTTTCTTTTTTTGAAATAAACAAACATATAGTAACAAAACTAGGAAGGGTGCAGAAAGGAGGTAGATACTATATCCATTATGATGTTCTTGTAAATGAGCAAAAATTCTTAAATTTTTTATTGGCATTATATATTTCCAAATTTCTATTAATTACATAAATTTGGGGATGACTGCATCGGTAACCCCTAGCCTTACGGCTGGATATTATTACTCATTTCAATATTCATTCTTTTTAATATTATACACAATAAATATGTTAATTATTTATGAAAAATTAAAAAAATATTTAAAAAAATATTTACATGATAAGGGCCGGACATAAAAAAGTATTTACGTTATTTATAAAAATATTAAAAAAATAAAGAGACTAGTTCAAAAATTAGGATGCCATGGACATAAAAATCCAAATAATTACAGCGGAATTGATAAGGGCCGGAGCAGATTGTAGGGTGCGCACAGTTACAGTTGGTAGGGTGGTCCTTGTTAAATTTGGTTACCCAAGTGTCCTCTTTCTTTTCCCTTTAACTTACACACATTGCTTTCAATCTTTAATTCCTTTTCCCAACTAATTAATTTTCCATGAAAATTCAGTCCAAGTACTTGTACTTTACCCAACAACATTTGTACATTATTTTAAAAAGTTTTGTCCTTCATTGTTCTAGTGACAAAAATCGAGACCGGGAGATAAAACCGAAGACCGGATTCCATTGTAGGTTTTTGTGTAAAACAAAACATTTTTGAGCCGGCAAGAAATGTATCTAGCTTGTTCACGTCATTTCAACAAGTTTCAAATTGGAAAAAGTATTGATAACACTTCAGACAATTTCAACAAGTGTTGATCATTTCAATTAGGGACAATAACTTAAAAAGCAAATATACTTATTTATTTATATATATATTTGGTTTTGTTTTTTTTTATATTTATCTCTTTAATATGTTTAAACTGTATATATTCGGTCTTTAATATGTTTAAAAGCTAGCATTCTAACCATAATAAATCATGGACCGACATTGGTGCATTCGAGCCATTAACACAGTGAGGAAACTCACATCTACATATGATAACTGAAACAACACTCGATTTGTGGTGAACACTGCTCCTTACGTTAAACTGTAACATCCCAATGATAATGTACTTCTAATTTTAACCCTATAATTTAATTATGTTGCATTTTGGGTCCCTGAGTAGAAGGAATTGTGCATTGGAAGTCCTAGTGGCATTTTCATAATTTGAGAAGTTTAGGTTCGCTTAGCGTACTAAGGCACGCCTTAGTACGCATGACGTATGTACCAGGCATGCAAACCCTAATTCTTAGGGTTTTGCTCATATTTAAACCCCATTACACCCTCATTTTCCCTCACATTATCAGCCTCTACCATCTTGATACGTTTTTGCAACCCTAATCCCTCTTGTGGAACATTTCTAACCTTGAGTGTATGTGTTTTGTGCTCTTGAAGAAGAAGTAATGAAGAGGAGACCACCTTGAAGGAGTGAAGTTCTCTAGATCTAGGATCACACCACCTTTTGGCACCATTTTGAGGTATCAAGTTGTGAACTTGGTGTAGTTTCTTATAGATCTTGTTTTGGGTTTAGTTTTAAGTTCTTTTTGTCCCAAATGTGGTATTTCATGAACAAAGCATATTCTTTGACCCATTAAGTTGTCCTTTCAGACCCTTGGGAGGGTCTTGAGTCATAAAAATGGGTTTCAAATGGTTGGTTTTGCTCCATGCATATTGTACAATGTCTTAATGGATTAAGAGGTTGAGTTGAGCACTTAATGGTCATGAAAAGTCATAAAGTTGGAAACTTTATAACTCTTGAGTGTATTTTAGCCATGAATCTGAAATATGGACGTGAGTGCTTAAGCCATTAAGCACTTAATGAGTTTTGGAGCTTATGGGAGTACGCCCCGCGTACTCAGATTACGCCTTGCGTACTCGGAGTACGCCCTGCGTACGAGGTCAACCACCCCGATGGTGGTCAACATGCGAGGATACGAGTATGCCCAGCGTACCTTCGGAGTACGCCCCGCGTACTCATTTTGAGGTGACTCGGCTGAGTTGACTCGGTTGGGTTCACTCAGTTGACTCGGTGGGTTTAACCAGCTTGACTTTGAATTTGACCAAGTTTGACTTAAGGGTATTTTGGGTATTTTGGGATTGTGATTATGATTGGTCATTTGGTTTGATAGGTGATAATTTGGGCTGAGATTCAGAGTCGGAACCTCATCAGCTACTGTTCAGTATGTGAGGCGAGTTTTGATAACTTGATTATTTGTATATACTTTAGCAATCGTTTTCATTTAGTTTTAGCATTTTTAATATTCTTTTTGCATTAAATCATTAGATTTATTGTTTTGAACATTTTTACTCGTTTAAGCTATTTTTGTGTAGATTGGTACGAGCAAGATGGTATTTTGGAGCATCGTTAAAGCCACATTGAATTTCTTGCAACCACGATTGAAGTCTCGTAGCAAAATCTGTGAGCGACAAGAAAAACAAAGTGGTATAAATTAATGTTCAGATTCTTGACAGCTTTACGTGACTTTCTTCAAGCGATCAAATGGAGGGGAAAACTTTGTCCGATTCAGCTAAAACTTTACGAGCGGTTCCCAACTCATTGAAATGGATTCGGACAAGTTTTGGTCAGGTTTTTGGCCTAAGCTGACAGCATCAAATTTTGGTAACCCATATAGCAGCCCATTCTGAACTATTTCCAGCAGGCCAATCTAATTTGAGTATTACCCATTTGTTTGTGTGGAGTTGAGAAAAACGCAGCAATCAAAAAGAGCAGTAGGGCATCTCATTCACATTTGGCAGGCTGTAGGAGTAGGAGGGAGTGACGGTGCCTTTGGTGTCTCCTCCTTTCTTTTCTTTCTTATTTTTTGGATGTAGGAGTAGGAGGGAGTGTCGGCGCCTTAGGAGCAGTACCGACATGATGTGGTTAGAGATGTTTTCTTTGATGCTTGTCGACGTGGTGGTATATCAGTGAAGAAAGAAGCGTCAGTGAACTTTTTGACGGACCCGTTAGATGGAAGATCCACACTCAGGTCGGCTGACATTTTGGTCTTTGGATGGGTAGGAAGGAAGCACGCTTGTGTGGATCTTACTGGGGTCTCCCCTCTCGTCGATTTGAGGAGCGAGGGTTTCACAGCAGGGCATGCTGCTTTGAAAGTCGTTGTGTGCAAAGTGGCAAAGCAAAAGAATGCATGCGTAGAAAATCAACATGTGTTTATACCTTTTGCCTTTGATACCTTTGGTTTTCTTGCACCAGAGGCAGTGGAGCTACTCAATAGAGTCCGACGGGTCATGCATTCTAATGTTATATCTCCTAGATTGACAGATGTTGTTTTCAAAAGAATTAGTTTTGCCATCCAGAAAGGGCTAGCGGCGCAGCTTGTTGCCTGCTTACCTTCCGTCGATATGTATTAAACACTGATATCAATTAATAGAGAATAATAAGATTATTTATCATTGATTTTATTATCATAGTTATTTACATTATATTAGGTTAGATTAATTTTTGTATTAATACATTGATTGTTGATAGAGTTTTTGGAGCAACAAGAAGTTATGATTTCAAGAAGCTATGGTTATCTCCGTTTGACAAC